AATCACACCCCACAGCCCAGGTCAGCACAGGAACTGAGATTCTGCTTGAGCGCTTTCACAGCAAGGGATCTAAAAGCCCGAGACTTACTTTTAAGCCAGTGGTTTCAAACTTTCTCATATACAGGACCTTTTTAAAAAGTGAACTCTTATGTGAAACCCCAACCAACAAAGGCAGAACGTCGGGCCAGAAATCCAACCTGCATTCCTGGTCTGTGCCCAAAGCTTTACTGTATTATCTCGTTTGACTCTCACACCAACTCGTTCCAAGAGGTACATTTAACCCATGTCATCCTGTACCCCTGGGGATCACAGAGGTTAAGTGAGTTTCTTGATGTCACAGGTCAAAAATAGCAGAACTGGGGTTCAAACCTGGGTCTGAGCAGCCTCGGCTCTCGACCACCACACTCCTCGTCTCTATCTCTGGATTACAGTTCGATGCCAGGGTGAACCAGACATAGACCATGCCACGCAGGGGCCCTCAGCCAGCCAGGAAGCAGACCGGAAAAACGCATCATTACAGCTCTTTAAACACAGCCAGGTGCACCCCGCTCAGCCTCCGCAAGCTGTTCCCTCTGCCTGTGTCTTCCCCTGGCAAGCTCCTCCTTTGCATCTTGCCATCTCTCATCAGCAAAGGACACTTGGAGCATCTCTTCTGAGAGCTTAATAAACGGTTACACAAAAGAAGACATAAGTTGTCAGAGCTAATCACTACCCTCCAGACCAGTGCAGATTAGCAGCCCAAACCCTGGGCTTCTCAGAAACAGCCGTCTCCTGTGCAATACAAGCGTGCTACCGAGTTCCTCTCACAGCCGCTTCTGCAGAAATACCGACAACTGCACTGGGCTTACAGGTCCCTCTATACAAGGTGAGGGCCCTGCTCGAACTGCATGACAGCAGTAAATTTCCTTCAAGGAAGCAATGGAATCCCAACATTTTACAACCTGCTAACACAGTGGTTCTCAAAGGCTGGGTGATTCTGACCCTGCCCCCCCACACCCCACCCTCCTGGGACATTTAGCAATGCCTAAGGGCATTTTTCACTGTCAAAACTGGGGCTGTGACAGGCATCTAGTGGGTAGAGACCAGGGAGGCTGCCAAACGGCCTTTAGTGCACAAAAATTCATCCATCCCAAATGTCAACAGTGCCAAAGTGGAGAAACCTTGAGGCAACTCTTTCACTAGTGACTGACTGGAGAAGCACAATGTCGGGACAAGAACCAGAAAAGGCTTTAGGACACGTTTTTTAGAAATGATCATGATTTCTATTGGAATCATAGGTGGCTACTACTTAGGTATTGTCAAGAAGGGTGCTGGATGCTTTACGTATCTGATCTCTAACCTTGTGCCGTAGTTTTATGCTCCATTTAAGGCTCAGAGAGGTGAAGTAACTTGCCGAAGGTCACACAGCTAGTAAGTAGGAGAGCGCACATGGAAGCCAGCCCGCCTGACTCCTGAGACCGTGCTCTGGACCGCTGGACCTCCCGCTGCCCCACAAGGTCTGGTCTGTCTTCCCCTCAGCAGTAAGCTCCTGAGGGCAGGGACTATCTCTAAGCTCAGAGTGGAGTCTGCCACAGGGGTGCTTATCACAGCCTGGATGAAAGAAAAAATAAGAGCAAGAGCTGGGCCTGCAGCTTCCACTTGGCAGTGGCCAGGCCCAAGCCAGCCTTCCTGCTACTCGTCAGCTCCCTCTCCTCCAGGCCACCTTCCTCAAGCAGCCGGAGTCACCGACAGGCCTGCTTCTCAGGCCACAGGTTCCCAACCATCTCCACCCCTTCCTCTCCCGAGTCCCTTTGTCCTAGACTAGCCTCCCACAGTCCTGCCTACACTTCCTTCTACAACCTAGAACTTGACTCAGTGAGGATAAGGAGAACAGACAGGCGCTAGGGTAAAGAGAGTCGCTTGGGCACAGGGGCTCAAGTGAAGAAACAGGATGACTCAGAAGCCTGGGCTGAGAACCCCAAAGGACCTGCCCTCAACAGAAACTCACACAGCCTGCAGTCCTCTGAGTACCTACTGTGTGCCAGGCCCTCTCTGTAAGTCCCCTGTAAATTTACTCACCTGTAAAATGTTTAGTAGGTTCCAAACATTTTTGGCCCAGAGCACTTTCCCCTTCAAAGGAAATCTAGATTGACACTCTCCTCTAAGACTTGAAGATTCTAGGACAAAACTCACTAGACGTGGCCCATGATATCATATTTGATTCATTTGTCATTAATATTCCACTAGCTCCCCAAAGGTACTTAATGATGGCTCACAATAATGTTTCAGCCATCAGAACAAGGATAAGGAGACAAGAACCAAGGAATAAAGCAAAGAGGAGACATCTGATTTCTGTGGCAAACAGCTGAAAAGGATTTTCAAGCACCAGCAGCTTTAGAAATGATCTCACAGAAGAGGCTCCGAAACAGAGAGAGACAAGGCAATCAGGAGAATCGCAACAAGCAACTGAGACTTCAAGGCTTGCTCCGTCTGCACTACTTCACACTTGTCTGGGTGTGTACTGTTCACACTTTGGGTGTGTACTGTTCACACTTGTCTGGGTGTGTACTGCTCACACTTTGGGTGTGTACTGTTCACACTTGTCTGGGTCTGTACTGCTCACACTTGTCTGGGTGTGTACTGTTCACACTTTGTCTGGGTCTGTACTGTTCACACTTGTCTGGGTGTGTGCTGTTCACACTTTGGATGTGTACTGTTCACACTTGTCTGGGTGTGTACTGCTCACACTTTGTCTGGGTCTGTACTATTCACACTTGTCTGGGTCTGTACTGTTCACATTTTGTCTGGGTGTGTACTGCTCATACTTGTCTGGGTCTGTACTGCTCACACTTGTCTGGGTGTGTACTGTTCACACTTTGTCTGGGTCTGTACTGTTCACACTTTGTCTGGGTGTGTACTGCTCACACTTGTCTGGGTCTGTACTGCTTCACATGTGTGAACCACTTCTGCCCCATAGACTACAAGGGGTAGAACCCTCATTTTGCAAACAAGGAAGCCGAGACAGAAAGCACAAGGGTGTCAAGGACGACAAAGGTAAGAGCACACTGTACGTGAACAAAGCAGCACCACGTGCTAGGCACTTACTAATGTTATTTTAGAGATGAGAAAACTAGTTCAGAGAGGTGAAGTAACTTCTGCAAGGTCACACAGCTAGGACATGGGTACAGGTCTCTTGAATTCCAAAGCTAAGCTCTTTCCTCTATGTAGCTCCCAGCCACCCTCATGAGCAAGGTTTCCCAAATTGACCAAGAACCCCCAGGGATTCTGAAAGCCTATTCCCTGGGTCCTTCGCTGAGATCCTGATTCTGGAGCTCAGGGATGGATCCTGAGGAGCCTGAACAGGCACCCAGCTGGTACCATAAACAGGAAACGCTGAAACGCTGACCTGCGTAAAGGGGTCAGTGCAGTCACACAAACCTGAACTGCCTCTACACGACCTTAGGCCATGGCCTTGGCAGGGAAAGTGAGTCTCCCCTAAAGTTCCTGGGTCCCCCCCGCAATGAGGGCCATGGTTGAGTGATGCACTCTGAGACCAGGCACGCTACTCCTGGGAGCCCCATACCTGTTTGCCAGCACATCAGAGAAAAGGTGCCGACAAGACACAGCCCTGGTCAGAGGGCTCACTCAGGACAGGTCTGGGACACATCTGCGAGGACCCCCACATTCAGCTGATGAAGCAACTGAGGCAGCGGCAGGTTAGCGTGCATGCCCAGTCACAGACGCCTGATGCCAGCGCATCACACCATCTGAAGGAACACCCTGTATGCAGTGCCCAGCATGGGTTTTGCTGGGGGCACACACATGGGGCAGCCAGGGTTGACGCAGGAATGCTCCCACCTGCCAAGCCCTGGGCCAGGGCCCTCTGAAGAGCAGCTGAGAGCAAATGGCCGCTCTGCACACACCCTCTCCACAGCCCATGCCCTCCTCACAGCACGCCACGGTTTAGGAGCTCCCATTTGCTTGTGAGACTGACTGTTGTGCCTGCTTCCACCGCCTGTAAGCCCACCAACAGTCATTCCTTATTACTATTCCTACCACCACAATTCTCTCGTATTACCTGCCAAGAGCAGAGCCTGGGACACAAACAGTGTCGAATGAAAACACGAAAGCACAGAGAATAGGCCAAAGCAGTAGGAGCTGTCCCCACAGGGCTTGCAGTGAGACACAGGGACCCCAGCAGCCAGCCCTGGTTTGGCTCCTGGGTGACAGGGCACCATGGGGAGTGGGGTGCATGGCCTAGTCCAGTGATGGCGAACCTATGACACGCGTGTCAGAGGTGACACGCGAACTCATATTTTTGGTTGATTTTTCTTTGTTAATTGGCATTTAAATATATAAAATAAATATCAAAAATATAAGTCTTTGTTTTACTATGGTTGCAAATATCAAAAAATTTCTATATGTGACACGGCACCAGAGTTAAGTTAGGGTTTTTCAAAATGCTGACACGCCGAGCTCAAAAGGTTCGCCATCACTGGCCTAGTCCCAACACAGGTGACAGCACACATCTCAGCAGTGACAGACACCCAGAAATACCAGGCCTGGGTTATGCAAATGGGGGCTGGAGTGAGAAATGTGGGTTACTAACTCTGACATCAGCCACATCAGCACCCTGTGGTTGGCCCAGGAGACGCAAGGTATTAGCATAAAGGGCCCTTCAGAGAATCAGGCTGACAAAGGCTGCTGATTTGGTAACTCGGACCACTTGTGGGTCACCCTCAGCCATAGCAGGTCAGGGGCGGGAAGTGACAACAGACTGTGTGAGAGCCAGGGACACAGAAGTGACAGCTAGCAGTGAGGAATCAAAAAGCAGCACCACCACAGACCAGTCCTAACAACACCCCACAGGACTCTGGGCTACTGGGGAAAGGCCTGATCACCTGCCTGACACAGGGCCTGCTCAACAGGGTGTCCTAACACGCACACGTTTCAGACAAGAACAGTTCAACTGGTCTGAATCCAACAACCCCGATCCTCTGGAGAAACAAAGATGGCATTACCTTGTAAAGAAGTTACTAAATGGTCCCAATTTTTTCAATTTACTTCCCTCTGCAATTTCATCAACACAGTCCTGCTGGTGTAGGTCATGGGTTTCCTTGATGGAGCTCAAGGTGACATCAGTAAACTGCGGGTCATCGTCATTCTCCAGGGTCACGATGGCACTGGAGCTGCTCGTGACCATGAGGTCCAGGATGTCCTCATTACTGACGGACAGGGTGGTGGACAGCTCTGTGCCGAGACTGGACACGCTGCAGACGGAGACGTCATCACTGCGGTTCAGGGCTTTGGAGGTGGGGCTGTAGAGCTTCACCGAGTCATAGCCCGTCCTGGGGAACGTGGAGGACTTGCGCACACTCTGCTCCCGCTCGGCGCTGGTGGGAGGTGGTGGTGCGTAGGACGGCAGCGGGCATGCGCTCTGGCAGGCCCGCTCAGGGACTATCTCCGACTCAGACTGTTTCCTCTTCACATGGACCACGCTGCAGGGGACAGGCTCCGGGTTGCCGATCTCTAGGGTAGGAATGCCTGAGTCCACAGACTGCAGGCTGTGCTGGTCTAGAGCCCCGTGTTTCAGCTTGGACCCATACTCCGGCAGCAAGAGGGATCTGGGCGCCTTGAGATTCAAGTGTTGCAGGTTCTGAATGTGGTTTCCTGGCCGACCATCCAGGATGCCCATCAAGGCCACGCCATTTGTAGAGCCGGAAAGGTTTCCATCAGTCATCTTGGTCCAAGGAGAAACTAGAAAAAACATCAACATGGAAATTTAGGCAGTGGCTGTAAAAGCCAAAGACGCCACTCCTCCTCTGCACAGCGCGAATGTCCTAACACCCTTTAAAGTAGGGACACTTGGGAGAAGTCCTACAGACACACCTTTCCATTCAGGACCACATGCTAGTTTTAACATAAACTATCGTGATGTAAAATAACAGGAAGATACACAGACAGAGGATCTGCGTAGGGTAAAATATGTAAAATATCATCTTTGCCATCCTCACCACCTCCCACCACCACCCACCAGCCACACCACCAGCCCCAGGAGAACCCGGGCGGCAGCATGAGGACTGTGCCAGGCAGGGGCAGGTTTCTGTTTTTTCGTGTGTATGTGTTTCTCGATGAACAGGCTGCCTCTGTTGGAAGTGTGTGAATTCATAACCCACATATAGGTCAAGGTTCTACTTGTTCTGAAGAAGGTAAGCTGTATATGCCACGTGCAGTGAGATTACCCCAACCACGCCCACTTTAGCATGCCCTCCACAAATGTTTCAGCCAGCTCACTCAGGACTTCGCGGTAGGGCATGTGAAAACTGAGGCTCAGAGAGGTTAAGAAACAGGCCCAAGATCACACTGTTACTTAACGGCAGGGCTGGGATCTATGGGACTAACCCCCAAGTAGGCCATTCCTAGTGGATGAATGGCTTAGTTTGCAGTTATAAAAACCCAGGTCAGAAGGCTGGCTCAGTGAAGATGGATAAACAGTAAAGAAAAATAAATACCATAACCCTATGATAACTCTGAGTGGGAAGAGTCAAAGCCGCCACTGACACACACACCCAGGGCCCTGCCGACAGTTCTCTGCTTAAGACGGGGGTGGGAAGAGGGGGTGAGAGATGCACCAGCCTGGACAGCACAGTCCCCAGAGGACTGAGGACCTGGCATATGTTATGTCACCTTCTACTGTCCTTTAAAATTTCAAAACTAAAGAGACCTGGTGATGCATTTTAATCTGACCTATGGCCCGGCTGGTGTGGTTGAGCGTTGAGCTATGAACCAGGAGGTCACAGTTTGATTCCTGGTCAAGGGCACATGTCTGGGTTGTGGGATTGATCCCCAGTAGGGGGCATGCAGGAGGCAGCCGATCAATGATTCTCTCATCGTTCATGTTTCTCTCTCTCTTCCTCTCTGAAATCAATATATTTTTAATAAAAATAAATCTGACCTATGGAGCAGAACAACACAGAGAACGGGACTTTGCCTGGGTTCTACTCCCAGCTCTACCATCCTGCCTTGGGAGAATGAAATAAAGCACCCGGAGAAAAGCATTCACTAGGCCCCGGCCCCCAGCAGGCACTCTGTTGGCAGCTGCCATCAGCAAACAGCGAGTAGCTGAAGGTTCTGGAGCTGGCAGTAACAAGGTAACCACTCTCTTTCGGGTGTCTTTGGTTTTACAAAGAGCCTTCCTGCTCTCCTTCCAGAAGCCTGGCCCTCCCCTCAGTGTCAACACAGCAAAAGCAAAGTCATTCGGAGCAGAAAAGGGAGGAGAGATTACTCTCCCTCCCAGAGATGGAAGGAACCAGTCAGTACAGCATTGGAACAAAAAGTAGAAATATGAAGGAATAAATCGAAATGCAGAATTCAGATATAGACTACACTGCACATAAAAGCCAGAACTGTGACCCAGCGAGGAAGGAAGGAATGTCTAACCATGATGTTATACTAACTGGGTATCAATTTCTCTTGGAAGGCAGAACCACACTGTGCTACAGACAAAATTAGAGTTTAATACAAAAATGAAATTATAAAGATGTGGCACAAAATAAAGTGTCCTCCAACCCACAGAGCAAAAACTCTGCGTCCTCCACAAGGGTGAGAGCACTCCGCCCCACCTGGGAGCACATTCTAAATGCGCTGCGGCTCACACGGCCTGGACTTCCTGGGCTGGAGCCCCTCCCGGGGAGGCCACAGCAAACCATCTCTGAGACGCTGCTCTGGGGAAACCCTGAAACAAGAGCGGCATTCACGCCACGAAGACGCAGGGAGAGTCCAACCCACACAAACCTGAAAGTGCTACTGGGTTTTTCTAATTAAAAGGGAAATATGGTGAGGAACATAGTCAGCAGTCGTTAAGAGCTCATCTCTGGCAACGTCAAAGGTAATTAGGATTATCAAAACACCATCAACACGCCAACAGTCAAGCTGGCGAAAAGCCGACCCCAAGAGGAAGTCCTCAGGGGAGCAGAGGTTGACCTCGGGGGAGATGCTCAACCTTTCTGAGCCTCAACTTCCCTCCTCCCCAGCAGGAAAACGGGGCCATGCCACAGAAATCCCAGGTAGCCCTGAGGATGAATGATGTGAGGTTTGGTGAAAGCGCCAGCACACCACACCCTGCACCTGACACACAGTAGGTGCCCAGTAAACGTGGATTTCCTCTACTTTAGCCACATTAAAAGCTCCAGTCCCTGCCACAATATGAACTGAAATGTTGACACCAGAATGGCAGGAACACCTCATGCTCCATTCTCCCCTCAGCCGCAGCGGCCGCGGACAGCATCCAGAGGGCCTCTTCTAAGGGAGATGCCGAGCCACCGTTTTTTTTTTTGTTTGTTTGTTTGTTTTTTTGCTTTTTGGTGGCCATTTTCCCTCACTTCCCTTGGATAGGGCAGAGGTGGGTTCCATTTTATTTATTTATTTAATTATTTAATTATTTTTATTGCTTAAAGTATTACAAAGGGTCCTTTTTTTTAACAACACAGAGAACGGGACTTTGCCTGGGTTCTACTCCCAGCTCTACCATCCTGCCTTGGGAGAATGAAATAAAGCACCCGGAGAAAAGCATTCACTAGGCCCCGGCCCCCAGCAGGCACTCTGTTGGCAGCTGCCATCAGCAAACAGCGAGTAGCTGAAGGTTCTGGAGCTGGCAGTAACAAGGTAACCACTCTCTTTCGGGTGTCTTTGCTTTTACAAAGAGCCTTCCTGCTCTCCTTCCAGAAGCCTGGCCCTCCCCTCAGTGTCAACACAGCAAAAGCAAAGTCATTCGGAGCAGAAAAGGGAGGAGAGATTACTCTCCCTCCCAGAGATGGAAGGAACCAGTCAGTACAGCATTGGAACAAAAAGTAGAAATATGAAGGAATAAATCGAAATGCAGAATTCAGATATAGACTACACTGCACATAAAAGCCAGAACTGTGACCCAGCGAGGAAGGAAGGAATGTCTAACCATGATGTTATACTAACTGGGTATCAATTTCTCTTGGAAGGCAGAACCACACTGTGCTACAGACAAAATTAGAGTTTAATACAAAAATGAAATTATAAAGATGTGGCACAAAATAAAGTGTCCTCCAACCCACAGAGCAAAAACTCTGCGTCCTCCACAAGGGTGAGAGCACTCCGCCCCACCTGGGAGCACATTCTAAATGCGCTGCGGCTCACACGGCCTGGACTTCCTGGGCTGGAGCCCCTCCCGGGGAGGCCACAGCAAACCATCTCTGAGACGCTGCTCTGGGGAAACCCTGAAACAAGAGCGGCATTCACGCCACGAAGACGCAGGGAGAGTCCAACCCACACAAACCTGAAAGTGCTACTGGGTTTTTCTAATTAAAAGGGAAATATGGTGAGGAACATAGTCAGCAGTCGTTAAGAGCTCATCTCTGGCAACGTCAAAGGTAATTAGGATTATCAAAACACCATCAACACGCCAACAGTCAAGCTGGCGAAAAGCCGACCCCAAGAGGAAGTCCTCAGGGGAGCAGAGGCTGACCTCGGGGGAGATGCTCAACCTTTCTGAGCCTCAACTTCCCTCCTCCCCAGCAGGAAAACGGGGCCATGCCACAGAAATCCCAGGTAGCCCTGAGGATGAATGATGTGAGGTTTGGTGAAAGCGCCAGCACACCACACCCTGCACCTGACACACAGTAGGTGCCCAGTAAACGTGGATTTCCTCTACTTTAGCCACATTAAAAGCTCCAGTCCCTGCCACAATATGAACTGAAATGTTGACACCAGAATGGCAGGAACACCTCATGCTCCATTCTCCCCTCAGCCGCAGCGGCCGCGGACAGCATCCAGAGGGCCTCTTCTAAGGGAGATGCCGAGCCACCGTTTTTTTTTTTGTTTGTTTGTTTGTTTTTTTGCTTTTTGGTGGCCATTTTCCCTCACTTCCCTTGGATAGGGCAGAGGTGGGTTCCATTTTATTTATTTATTTAATTATTTAATTATTTTTATTGCTTAAAGTATTACAAAGGGTCCTTTTTTTTCCCCCCGCCCTTGACAATCCCCTGGCCTCCCCTACCCCCCACCGAGCCACCTTTGAGGCCTCCGCTGGTTCCAAGTCCAGTTCACTAATAAGTTCCTTAAACCTCAGGAACAGGGTGTTAGCCTTCGGGGAAATAAACCTAAAAGGAAAGAAGTACTTCCGCTTGCAACACACTCTAAAACCCAAATCTGCAAGGGCCCAGGCCGCCTGTCCTCACACCCTGCCACCTGGTGCCACCAGTGCCAGAAAGCCGACGCCGCCCTCCAGAGCACCTGCCTTTCGAGGGCACCGTGAAGGGGTGGCTGCAGAGTGCGTGCTTCCAAGACAGGCTGCAGGGGGAACTGTGGGAGCCGCCATGAGGCCAGCTGCCGATGGCCTGCCTCCAAGTCACACGTTCTCTGAAGACAGAATAAGCCTAAATTCCCTGAGCTGGTGAGCTGGCACAGGGCCCTCCCGATCCGTTCCTGCCAGCCTCCCCAGCCTCGCACTGCCACTCTCAGTTCTCTCAACACCCAGGACTGCTGCGCCGTGCCCGAGGTCCTCTCTGCCTTCAGTGCCCGGGGAGCTGGTAACAGGTGCCACCAGGAGACACACCCAGAACATTCCAAGGCCACTTCCTCTGAGAAGCCTTCCTCACTCTGCCTGGAAGCCGCAGGCCCTCCTCCCTCCCAGGCCCCTTTGGCTGCACCCCTCCTGAAACAACTGTATCTACAGCTGTCCCCACGTCTCGCCGTACAGGCTTCTAAGCGTCAGGCAGGCACAGCACTCACAGCTTCTGGACACACGGCCTGGCCAAAGGCCTGGCATGGATTAAGGATTCAAAAATCTATCTGCTGAATTAATTAGGACTAACAGCTATGTTCTTAGTGGGCAGGTTTCAGGAACAGTCCATTCAAGAAACATCTGCTGAGAGCTGGGTTATGTCCCAAAAACAAGGTAAGCAGTGGAGGTAACAAGAGGAAGAAAATCTGTCCCCTTGAGCTCTTGGCATGTGAGTGGACGACAGACACAGCAAGGAAGCGGGGACCACCCTGAGCATCACGGCTGCTGCCAGACTAGCCGGCGAGGAACCCTGTCAGCAGTCCATGGTGTTGGTAAGTAAAGCACAATTCCTCCCTCCACAGGGGTTTCGCCAAGTCCAAGCCGCTGTGGCCGAGCACACAAGCCCGGCAAGAGGGGCCACCACAGCGGGTGCGCACCCCCAGGCTCTCGGTGTGTTTTGGCACAGCCGGCACCAGCCATGGAAATGCTGGAGACAATAATGACTAGCCCTCACCTCCCGGACAAGAGGAAACACACAAGACGTCAAGGGTAAGAGGAGGATTAAATTCAGGCAGCAAGACCGTCTGAATTTTATCCGCCTGCCACAAACTGAGTTCCACAGGCTGCAAATAAGATCAGCGCCCTGAGAGACTGGAACGCCCTGCACGCCGTGGGGGCTGCGTCTCAGGTTTAATACAAGTCAGAAAGCGGGCAGTGGCTCTGCCAGCGATTTCGAGTAAGGCTTTCGAAAGCAGTTCCATCTTGAAGCCACAGTTCAATTTTCTCCTCCTTAAAGAGCAGGACTGTCTTGGTCAGCTCTTCAGAAACAAAAGAAAGAGCTTATGAAGCTAAAACCAAATGACTTAGTTATGCCCTCGGCGGGGGGTGCACTTGCTGTGGCTTTGGGGAGAAGCGATGCTGCCCATCCACGCAGACGTCCTCTGGCTCCTCCCTGTCCACGACGCAGCCCTCCTTGTCCAGGCTCCTCTCTGGGTCCTGCAGAGGACAGCCACCTGCTCAGCACGGGGACACTGCTGCCCTCCAAGGAGGTTGTGTGCACTCACCTTCGCTGCCAAGCCTCCCATCAACCCAGCTCTGCCACCGGCTCCCTAGTTTACTCTTCAGATCAAGCGCACCGCTATCTGTGTGGCATCTCCCGCGGGGGAGAGCCTGCTTCCCAGAGGGCTGCACAAGCACCAGCCACCATCTCCCTCCTGTTCATGCAGGTCCTGGCTCAGGCAGGAAGGTTCCTGGGAAGAAAGGCACAGGGTGTTCTAGGTCTCAGGTGCCTCGGCATTAACAATTAACAAGAGCAGCCGCCTCTGCTCAGTAAGTGTGCATTACACGTTGGGCCGTGTTCCGTGTTCACACCCGCCATCGGCATAACCCCCACAACAACCCTATCATTACCATCCACAGACAAGACAGAGGCGTGGAAGGCATATGTAATATGTAATAAAGTGGCTGTGCTGGAATCATACATAGAATGGAAAAGTCAACTATAAAAGTCAACTTTTATAGCTGACTTTGTAAATGTGTTTTTAAGTGTGTTATTCTTTAGGATTTTTAAAAAAATACTAAAATAAATAATTTCTTAGAAGCTCAATATATTCCTCTGGAGGGTGAATGGCAACTTTTAGGAATCTGGCACTTAACACAATGTGTAAGTAAGTTCTGGTCCATCACAAACCAGGGAGAAACTGGGGTTAAACTGCTGAGGGTCCCAAAGGCTCCTTTACAACCCTAGGGAGCAGACATTGAAGCTATACTGCCCAAAGGTGGTTACGTTTAAAAGGCACAGGTGGGACGTTTTAAATCAAGGACTCTCAATGCATGGGGGATTCTGCACATCCCAAAATGTTTCAGCTACATTTAGTGATTTACCAAAACCAGCCATCATACAAGTACCCATGTGATTAAGAGGCAACTGACAGGTTAGGAAGACATTCAGACCACTGAACAAAGCCAACATGACGTGTAATCTCAATTATTTATAAGAGAAATCATTTAGCCCAGCCTGCGTGGCTCTGTGGTTGAGCATCAACCTATGAACCAGGAGGTCACAGTTCGATTCCCGGTCAGGGCACATGCCTGGGTTGCAGGCTCGATCCCCAGTGTGGGGTGTGCACGAGGCAGCTGATCCATGATTCTCTCTCATCATTGATATTTCTAGCTCTCTCCCCCTCTCCCTTCCTCTCTGAAATCAATAAAAATACATATTTTTTAAAAGATAAATCATTTACCAAACATTTACCATGACCAAGCATGCTAGCTACGATCCCATGCTCCAAGCATCACACGCCTGACAAGCACAGTGAAGAACTGAGATTCAGAGAGGCTAAGGAGCTCACCCAAGTTCACACAGCGACAGAAACTGGCTTCAAACCAGGCCTGACATCAAGGCCCATATATATGGCTTGCTGCAGTGCTTAAGAACACAGGCCCTAAATTTTGTGACAATCAGTAAGCTAAACGGTTAATAATTTCTTCTGTATGTATGTTAGCTTCAACAGAAAAGTTTTAAAAATAAAATAAAAGGGGGGAGGGGTGGGCGCAGCAGGGTCTGAAGATAGATTGGGTTGAAATCCCAGCTCCTCCATTTTGTATGACCTTAAACTCCTTTCTTAATTTTCCTACGCCTCACTTTCTATGTAGTGAAATGGGGCCAACAATAGACCCTATCTCCTCCGGCAGCTGACGGGATTAGGGGAGAAATCCACGGAAGCCTTCAGAACTGTGCCAGGCTCGAGTTAAGCCTCAGAAGAGCGGCTGTGTTCTTTCCCGGGCGCTGGGGAGGGCCAGCCAGCTCAGCCCACTATTTTAGCAACTCATTTGCATCAGCAAGCCACCCGTCCGCACTGCCTCCCGGTGCAGCTCCTTCCTGCCACTCACACCGCTCCTCACGCTTGCTCGGCGGCACCCCTGACCTGGGCCTCCACTTCCCCATCTGTAAAATGAGGCCTACCTGGGGTCCTTCAGCTTGACAACCTAGAATTCTAAACAGCCGGGCCCTAGAAAGTTTATGCCCGCCCTAAAACAAACCTTAACAACACAACCATTTCCCTAAAACCCTTTTACGCGAGTGAATGTCTGTTTTGATGACACATCTTCTCCGAGGTCTCCAAGGTCCACCAGCAAGCACAACGCGCTGGGCAGGCATCCCCTGGGCTGAGGCTGGGACAGGAAAGTCAGATGTGCTGACCAACAGGGGAGAGACAGACTCCAGACCAGTTGCTCTGATAAGCTGGGTGCTCACCGTTAGGCCTTCCGCAGAGCACCCGCAAGAGGAAGTGGGGGCGTGAGGGACAGTCATTCGCCCACGGGGCAGGGGAGTGGGGCAGTGGGTGCAGGGGTGGAGACTGGAGGGCCCTAAGGAGAGAACCCCGGGCCATCAGCAGCGCCGGCGCCAGGAGGCTGGGCCCCACTGGGAACACTGTCCGCAAACCCAGCTCAGGGCAGAGCGCAGCGCTGAGCGGGACCTGCTGGCACCACCTCCCCACCTGCGGGGCCGAGGGGAGCAGAGTCTGGGCCCCCCTTTGCCTCTCCGGCTGGTGCCTCTGCACCCCTTACTGCACCTCCTACTGTCCCCCCGAGGGCTCTCATCAGGGCGGGGGGCCGGTGGAGCCAGGGTCTCCAGGGGTCAAGCACACAGGACACTAGGGCAGCTCGGCTCGGAGGGGAGGGAGGGTCAGCCCCTGGGCAGGTGAGAGGTGGGAAGAAGCCACGTCCAGACTTGAGAGCGGGCTGACCGCCGCCGCTGAGCAGGACAAGAGGAAGTGTCCACTGCTGGGAGGAGGGCCACGCGCGCCCGCGGGGAGCAGCACCAGCA